AACACTTTACAAAGCTTAGCTTGGTTACATTTTACTACAATGTAGTTACCTTGAGTTTATACCTTGAGTGCAAGTATCCTAGTTATTGCTCAAAGAAAATAATTGTCTCTGTAGATATTACTAAGTAACCTGATGACAGTGTGTTAAATTGTTGACTAATGAATAAAACATTTAGTAGCTGATCCCTAATGTAACCTCAGTATCTAAACTTGTGAGTTAAACAATATTTTCATTTCTAATAAAGAATACCTGCTACTAGCACTATTGAAGTAAGTGAAACTTGTATCACCAGAGTGATATTTTTTAGTGTGTATATTTCCTGTTTGGTTATGTGGCCCCTGAATGATCCTAAGCACTAAGTGTTATCAGTTAGTAAAAGAAGTCATCATACTTTGAACTGTAAATCTAATATTGCCTTTAAAAAATTGTGGCCATTTTAATAAGAGAGTAGTTGCAAATATTAAGAGAATAAGTAGTTTGTATCAGGACTTACCAGGACATTCACTGTACCATGTAATAACAGGCACAAATAGTGGCAGTACCTGGGAATTTGAAATTCAGTTGTTAGTATTATAATATTCATCACAATGCATTGTGGGATTATTATTTAATAATCCTGAAAAATGTGTTTAATAATATAGAGTGGGTACAAAAAAGAGCTAAGTGGGCATTGCTGGGAAATTATTGTACCATGTTTACACACTTTCACCCCCTCCACCGTGGATAATTTCCCGTTTAGAGGATCCTCATAACCAAGAGAGTGTAGTTTCAGTAAGTTTCAGCATGAAATTAGCAAGGCATTAAAAAAGGACTGTAAAATCTTCCTGTTTCTCATTGCACCAAAAGCTGTCTGTGTATAAGGAGAAAGGGAGAAAGGAACACTTCTCTGAGTTGTTTAACCCTTTTTAAAGTGACATGAGATAAAAGTAATTTCATTGTTAGGATATACCTTTAGCAAATTATATATGAGAGTTTCTATTAGGAGAAGACAGTTTTTTCTTTTGTATCTGATACTGAATTTTATTACAGGCACTAGAAATCTATAGCGTGGAAGTCTGTGGATTGGAACTGAAAATCAGGGGCTGTATCTTTCACTCAAGCACTCGCTTAAATGTAACCAGCTTGTTCAGAATGATTATTATGGGTACAAGAGTATACCAATGAATAAGTCGTAGTCTCTGACCTCCAGGAGCTTAAAATATATTTTGAATCAGTGACTTAGTGCATATCCTATTAGTAACAAAATTATAACTAATAAGTAGCTTTCTAGGCCAGTCTATTGAATATATCCAATGCCTTAATTTACTGAATTCCCTCACTCTGAGTCAAGATTTAAAGGCTCATTGGCTCCCATACTGGTATCAGGCAATGCTTTCTGTGCAGCAGTTAAGGCTGAGAGGTGTGGGGTTCCAAGTGGCCTTCTTGGTGGTTGGTTGGCCAAGGCTTCAGTGCAAGGCGGGTTTTCCTCAACCTTCCACAGTGGTTGGTGAAGGCTTCAGTGGCAGGGTATCCAGGAAGTAGCAGTTGTTGGTGGTGTATAGATTATTTGTAAGTCAGGTGTTTGAGTCAAAGGTTACCATAATCCACTTGTAAATGTTGACCTAGCCTCTAAAAGCAAATTATTTATTAAGCATTTACCAAGTGTAAAATACCAGACTCTGTTATTGTTTACTGCATTCAAAGTATAAACTCTGGTTTACTACATTGTAATAATATGTAACCAACTCAGATTTTAAAAAGGAGGTGTTAATGGCTATATGAAATTGATGGTAATTTTGTATCCAAATCTCTTGTCACTCTACTACATTGTAATAAAATGTACCCAACTCAGACTTTTAAAAGGAAGTGTTAATGGCTACATGAAATCTATGGTAATTTTGTATCCAAGTCACCGGTCACTCTATGTCTATATTCGTTCAGGGCATTATGATACAGTTTACTCCCCTATTATTTTTATTGCCTTTCTATCTGAATGTCTTGTCATTCTAATCACTGATTGACATTACTCTTATAACTACAATTATTACTGTTGTTTTGCTATTTTAAACCAGTATTTGAGACAGGAGAATAAGACTAGGAAGGCCCAGCTTTGCTAATGTAAATTAGCTTTCTTATGCCTTAAGGTACTGTGTAACTCTATAGAGAGCCATTATTCTAGTGAGAAAGAGAACATACTAGTATGGAAATTTCTTAAGGGCAGAAACTCATGTATTTACAGATATTTATTGAGTACCTGTTATACGTCAGAACTAAGCTGCTGGGATGTACTAGATAATACGATATTTGTCACTCTGCTCTCATGGAAATTTCAGACTAGCATAGTACCTGGAACATAGTAGATGAAAAAAAAAAATGCATCTGGTTTCAGTGGTTGAAATTTAAGCATTTGAAAGTTATTATACTTATGACTCACAAATTTACCTTTCACCGATTTAAGCCAAAAAGACTTTATCCAGAAAATAGTTTAGTAGAGATGAATATGTAGGATCCTGCATGACTTAACTTTCTCTTTGCATTTGGGATAATAGACTCAACACATTTCTGTACCACATTTAAAGTTTTTATTTATATCCTGCCTTGTTCCCAAAAGGATTTAAAGCAGCTTACAAAAATGTATAGCAGAGTGGGATAAAATAAAGAAACAGAATGAGTAGAGCCAGGAGGGAGATTAGACTCTACAACATGCATACTGTGAAGTCCTCGTCACTCACAGGTACCATCATATGGAACCCTTATCCTCCCACCACAAAATTTAGAATTCTGCTTATATCAGTACCTGTGATCTCGCTTCTTTCAAAAACGTAGACCTTTCTTCTAATGGAAAACAAACAAACAAACAAACAGACATCCCTCCACATGTATTCTGGATGGCATCCTCCTTCACATTGTCTAGGACTTTGGCTCTGCCCACTGTCCTCATCATCCTTCTATCCAGGATCACAGTCTTTGTCGTGCAGACATGTTCAGCTTCCTCTTGTCCCCCCAGCAAAAGAAAACCCTTCATTTTCACATTCCCCTCCAGCTACCACTCCATTTCTTTGTTTGCCATTTCAACATTTTTCAAAAGGATCACCCTTTGAAAATAAAGATATTTCCACATTGTCACCTCCCATTTATATTCAGCGTACTTCAATCTGGTTTTCAGTGCCCAAACAAACCACTGAGGTTGTGGCCATGCTCAGCAGTTACCTGTGTTGGCAAATCCAATGGACACTTTAGTTCTCCTACAAGACCCCAGCTGCCTTGACCTAATTGACGTCCTCCCTGAAGTGCTTTCCTTTGTTTTCATGTGCCCATAGCAGACCACTTCTCAATCTCAGTCCTCTTTGTCCAGTCCTCATCCTATCCAACTTCCAGGCGCAGGAGCCCCTTAAAGCTTGACCCTGTGCTTTCCTTTGTCTTTCCATATACCCCAATGGCATTATCCATTGTCTTGTTTTTAAACATTATCCATATGCCCTCCCAAGTTTAGCAGCAGCTGAGATTTTTCTCTTGAATTCCGTGCTCATATATTCTAACTGCTTACTTGATATGTACTCTTGGGTTTCTCACAGACATCTTGAACTTAAAAATAAATTTTATCCTACCAGAATCTTATCTTGGCTTCAGAGTCCCATCTCCCTCACTCTTGCCCATTTCAGGAAATGGAGCCACCAACACACAGCTGTTTGAGGCAGAACCAGAGAACATTTCTGATACCTCCTTCTCCTTGATCCCCCACCTTTGTCTAATCACCGAGTACTAGTTGCTCTGCCTCCAGAGCATCTCTCATTTATTCACCTCTTCTTCACCAAATTAGCAGCATTGTATGAAACTTAAGAATCCAGGCTTCCTTCCTCCATTGAAAAGATGAGTCGACTGAGTATTTGCAGGCTGGATATTCCTTGCAAAAAATCATTTTGGTGCTCCATGAGTGTTCACCATAAAATTGGCTTAAAACTTTTGAAACAAATGTAAATCATCGTCATTAAAATAGATCATTGGCCAGTCGCATTGGCTCACACCTGTAATCCCACCACTTTGGGAGGCTAAGGTGGGCAGATCACAAGGTCAGGAGTTCAAGACCATCTGGGCAACATAGTGAAACCCCGTCTCTACTAAAAATACGAAAAATTATCCAAGTGTGGTGGTGTGCGCCACCAGCTACTCGGGAGACTGAGGCAGGAGAATCATGTGAACCCCAGAGGCGAAGGTTGCAGTGAGCTGAGATCGCGCCATTGCACTCCAGCCTGGGCGACAGTGCAAGACTGTCTCAAAAATGAAGAAGAAACAAAAACAAAACAAAACAAAAAAAGCATGAAAGCATCAGTGGACTGTCCCACTGGAAGCAGTGCAACTCTCCAGTGTACTCTCTAAAATGAAATAAATGTTCAAAGTACATAAAAGAAACCAAGTTAAGTTTAAAATAGTTAATAAATGTTCAAAGTACATAAAAGAAACCAAGTTAAGTATAAAATAGTTAAAAGTTTTGAGACTTCTACTAAAAAATGATAGTAGTTGTTTTTGAATATAGATTCCTGGTCCTTTATTCAAAACCCTTGGGGCAAGATGCATTTTGGAATTCAGATTTATGTTTTGTTCTTTAGAATAAGATGCATAAGCCATATATTATATAACACTTCCTATAGGATCTGTAGTGCTGCCTTATTATATTCATATTGATATTTCTACAATACAATGTATGAATATTCACACTAAAGGGATAAAAGTGATAAATAACCTCGTATTAGTTCAGGTCAGATTAGATTTTGCCACCAAAGGCATTATTGAAAAAACTTAATTTTCAGAGCTATAGATTTCTGGTTAAGGTATTGTAGACCTGTAGATGGTTGTAGCTCATCTTTCTAACAATAGTTGGGACATCTAGACTAGATTTTTGTTGTTGTTGTTGTTGTTGTTAAGGGCACTTCCAGGACATGGTGTTAAAATGATATCCTTGGCTTATACAAGACAACTTATTTCTCTGTTAGATGTGACAGAAGGGTGTGTATCCAGTGGAGTCTAAAAGTGGCATCAGTTTATTGAGAAGCCAGGTTTGCTCTTTGTTTAAAGGGCCACCTGGGGTTTAATTACTTTACATATCACTGTGAAGGAGATGATAATTTGAAGGATAGAGTGGTATACTTTAAAGTGGATCTAGCTGTGTCCTGTGGCTCAGAAGGCTGATGTCTGGTTTGCTCATTTTATGGAGATGCCATTTATCTGTAGGGAAGCCACGCAAGGTAAGAGAGGGTCCCACAGTAAATGCTGTTTATGCAGCATCACATGGCTTCTTTATCAGAGCTGGTTAACAGGTCTATGCAGGAAAGTTACTGTAACAGAAGAAAAGCAGCAGAGTATAAGGATCTTGCCCCTCTTAAAGAATGTAGAGACCTTAAAGCTCCTCTGGAAGAAATATCCCCAGAGGAAGTCTTATGATTAGGCAATTTTATAAAAACTTAAAATGTTAAAGCAATGAAACAACATACAGAAATTTGAATGCTATTTGACTGGTTGAGGTGAGTCTTAATAGATTTCCTGGAGAGACAATCATAAAAATATTAGAAAGACAAAAGTTTTTCATTTACTTTCTTTTCCTGGATGGATACATAATTGAGAAAGAATGTTAGATTAAATAGAGTTGGTAAATACCACCCTTACTTAAGTATGTGAGGATAAAACTTTAATAACATAAGCTCCCTACATTTAGTTGCAATATTCCTTTTTAGTTATGTTTCCTCAGCAATCAGTTTTCTTTTCTTCATTGCCCTGTTTGAGTTTCAGGCAGACATATCTTGTTGGAAGATGTCAAACATATTAAACACCATTAAAACAAAATGAGATAGGGGCTGGGCATGGTGGCTTAAGGTGGCTCATGCCTGTAATCCCAGCACTTTGGGAGGCCAAGGCAGGTGGATCACCTGAGGTCAGGAGTTTGAGACCAGCCTGGCCAACATGGTGAAATTCTGTCTCTACTAAAAATATAAAAATTAGCCGGGTGTAATGGCAGGTGCCTGTAATCCCAGCTACTTGGGAGGCTGTGGCAGGAGAATTGCTTGAACCTGGGAGGTGGAGGTTGCAGTGAGCTGAGATCGCGCCATTGCACTCCAGCCTGGGTGACAAGAGCAAAACTCCATCTTATTTAAAAAAAAAAAAAAGAGAGAGAGAGAGATCTGTAAATACTGATAAAAAGATGTCTATGAAATAGTATGTTAGTTTTCTACTGCAGCTGCAACAAATTGTTGCGAACTTAGTGGCTTAAAATAACACAAATATATTACCTTCAAGTTCTGTAGGCTGAAAGTCTGACACAGGTCTTGTAGCCTAAAGTCAAGGTGTCTGCATGGCTGCTTTTTTCTGGACACTCTAGGAAAGAATCATTTTCCTTGCCTTTTCAGCTGCTACCTGTCACCGCATTCCTTGGCTCATGGCTGCCTTCTCCCATGTTCAGTCAGCAGTGTAGCATCACCTCTGACCCTGCCTCCATCATCATGTCTCTTTGATTCTCCTCCTGCCTCCCTCTTGCAGTTTTAAGGATGTTTATGGTTACATTGGGTCCACCTGGATAACCAGGATAATCTTTCTATCTGAAGGAGAGTTGATTAGTATCATGCAAGCTAACAGAGTCACAAGTTCTGGGCATTAGGACCTGGACACCTTTGGAGACCATTATTTGGCCTGCCCTATATGTAAGTAAGAAAAGAAAGTTGTAAAAACAGTTTTAATTCCATTTAGGTTAAAAAAATGAGTGGTGGTGATAAATAATATTGAGTAAGGTATAACCAACTTTAAGAAAACTGTACTAAAAAATCTGGCACTAAGAGAGAATAAAGGTTGACTTGATTCATTTTATCAAAAAATTCTCGACATTTTTGATTGTTAGTCAGTAGGACAAAATTCCGTTTACATATAGTGTGCCAGTTGTGTGAAGTAAGGTGTGCTTGTGTGCTTCCACATCCTCGTAGAATAATTCTCTGGCTTCCGCTACATATTGTTGAAATTTAATCAAGGGCATAGTAACTCCATGATCTGTGATAGATAAGCACAGATTAGATCTGGTGGCAGAATTTCTCTGTACACCATGAACTGTGCATTTTACAAAAGGCTAATTACTATCATGGACAAAGCATAGTAGCACTTAATTGTATTTATTAAATGAATAGCATTTATTAAATTTATTCAGATATATCTCTTGTTAACATAGTATCCGTCTTCCAACTTTGAATGATTCATAATCTTTCTAAAATAAGCATTAGGTAGAAAGTAATTTTCTTCAGATGTACAGATGGGAAATGGTAAGAATTCACAGGCAACCTGGAGGAAACAGATGGACCGTAGATCACTCCTGCCAGTATGGGCTGTTTCCAGAACACAGTGACCATTCCATATCCTTTTGCAGAAAAACCACAAATTTGACCCCAATATTTTTATGGTTTACACAAATAAGACCTAAGTGCTTTTGTTTTCATGTGTTTTGTTACCCTTACAAATGTGGTTTTTTGAGTTGAAATGCACTCAGCATTTCTGTTTATTTTTCTATCTCTTATTTTATTAAATGTTGAGTTTCTAAACTGATGGGTTATGATATTTGTAACCATGATTTTCATGTAGCTATTTTCTATTAAAGGTGGATTTTAAAACAGCTGATTTAAAGTTCAGACTTCTTTCTTTCAAGCGTTTGAGTTACGAGGCATGTTGGTCTGAATTGAAGGTGATTTGGGGAAAATGTTCCTCCTTCCAATAAGTGGAAAACTTCCTATTTTAATGACATAATTTTTTGTGCATTACTGAAAAGTATAAATTAAAACTACTTGAATCAGATACATTACTGAAGAGATTTTAGAAAATCTGAGTTAATTGGTATTTAAGTCTTCATGCTTTCCAGATACAGCATTTAAAAAGTAACCTTAATGTATATGTACTTTTTGTACTTAACGTATTGATTTTCAGATTGAACTTTTTTCTTTATAATAAAAAACAAAATCTATTGCCTGAAAGAGTACAGCTTAATTGTGGGTAGTCTTTTCCTTTGACATTACATTTGACAGTCAACGGGCATTTTTATAAGTTTAGTGGGCAGGCTCAGCCTATGTTTGACTTTGGCAGGCAAGATATGAAATAGTTTAAATAGTTTTACTGCATATTTATTTCCTAGTGAATGTGCACTTGTTAGAGGGCTGTTTTTTTTTTTTTTTTTTTAATGTCTGAAGGGGTAAAATATTCTTTTACTGCTCTTTTCCTTACTTGTATTGTACTGTTTAGGTCTTGATAGACTTTCTGTAAAGAAGGAATGATTTGGTGATGGAGTGTTCCCACTGACCGATGGACTCAAAGAAGAGAAGGTAAAACCATTTCTTCCTTTTCTCTTATCCTCCTAGGAAAACATAGCAAACAGCTTCACATATGTGTAGCTTCTCTTCGTTTTAATTTTCTTGTTGATGGTTGTTAAGTGGGAATAGTGACATTTGTAGTTAGTTGATTGGTAAAGATAAAACAAATTTTAAAGAAGGCTAGTTAGTTGTAAGCTTTGTAAGAAGCACTAAATGTCTTCATTTAATCATTTTAAAGTGCTTGTAGCCATTTTTCCCTCACAAATAATTTCAGGTTTTTAGAAGTAGCCTTGCTAATCTTAATCATCTTCCATCCTTAAAGAACTAGTTATGGAAGATATCTAAAAGGAAGGTTAAATGTGTAGTGTTCCTCCTATAGAACCATGGTTATGTCCAGTTATCATTTAAGGGAATATTATATAGCAAACGTAGAGAAATTCCTGGCTATTCAAAAGAGTTTCTGTGCCTCATTAAAATTTTGGCATCAGTGTTCTAGAAAAAAGAAACTGAAAAAATGTATTACCAGTGGTGGCACATATCTTAACACGGCCTTTTCTTAGAAGAGGGCAGTTAGGATATGGTCATTACTGTGCAGCTGTGTGTTTTGTATTCTTTAAACCAAAATCATCAGATGTGTAGGATTCTTTAGCTAGAACTTGAACAAAGCATGAAGGATTTTACTGATATCTATTACAAACTTGATTCCTAAAAGTTTAAATAGCAATTCTACACTTAAACTCAACATAAAGTGAAATGAATTCCTGTATCTCATATTGTTCTCATCAAGTACTTTTTACTTACTATAAAATTTTATGATAAGACTTCAACTTGGGCATGTTGTAGCTTTAATATCTAAACAAGGAGTGAATATATTGAGAAGTTAGAATCTTGGAATTTTATGCTACCAAATGCTAAAACTTCTAAAAATAGCCCAAGTTTTGTTTGCTTCTTAGATGGAGAAAAGTAATTTGTGGGTTTAGAGTGTCCTTCAGTCTTTTTTTTTTTTTTTTGAGACGGAGTCTCGCTCTGTCATCCAGGCTGGAGTGCAGTGGCACGATCTTGGCTCACTGCAGCCTCCGCCTCCCGGGTTCAAGCACTTCTCCTGCCTTAGCCTCCTGAGTAGCTGGGACTATAGGCACATGCCACCATGCCCGGCTAATTTTTTTTAATTTTATTTTTACTAGAGATGGGGTTTCACCATAGTAGCCAGGCTGGTCTTGAGCTCCTGACCTTGTGATCTGCCTGCCTCGGCCTCCCAAAGTGCTGGATTACAGGTGTGAGCGACCATGTCCCACATCCTTTAGTCTTTTACATAAATAGTTGTTTTACTTTGGCTCCTATGAGCATAACCAAAGCATAAAATAGGTGCTAATTCAGCTATCTGACCCAGTCATCCATGTGCTAGTAAAAGGTACAATCATGAAAAGTATTAAGAACAAAGGATACCGTTCTGAATTGTAGAAACAATTAAGCTATGTTTCTTGATGTTTGTAGCTCAACAGAGGCAGAAGGATCCAAAGAAAGAGGCCTGGTCCATATCTGGCAGGCAGGATCCTTTCCCATAACACCAGAGAGATTGCCAGGCTGGGGAGGAAAGACTGTTTTGCAGGCAGCCCTTGGAGTGAAACATGGAGTTCTTCTGACTGAAGGTAATTAAGAGAATGGCTTAACAAATACGAACTGCAATGCTAACAAATGCCTGAATGTGGAAAGTCAGGTATGGGAATAATTGGATACTAGGGGTTCTTTTTTTTATTTTTTTGAGACGGAGTTTTGCTCTTGTCGCCCAGGCTGGAGTACAATGGCGCGATCTCGGCTCACCGCAACCTCTGCCTCCCAGGTTCAAGCGATTCTCCTGCCTCAGCCTCCCAAGTAGCTGGGGTTACACGGGCCCACCACCACACCTAGCTATTTTTTTTTTTTTTTTTTTTTTTTTTTTTGAGATGGAGTCTCGTTCTGTCACCCAGGCTGGAGTGCAGTGGCACAATCTCGGCTCACTGCAAGCTCTGCCTCCCAGGTTCACGCCATTCTCCTGCCTCAGCCTCCCAAGTAGCTAGGACTGCAGGCGCCCGCCACCACACCTAATTTTTTTTTTTTTGTATTTTTAGTGGCGATGGGGTTTCACCATGTTGGCCAGGCTGGTCTTGAACTCCTGACCTCAGGTGATCCACCTGCCTCGACCTCCGAAAGTTCTGGAATTACAGGGATGAACCACTGCGCCTGGCCTAGGGTTTCTTAATGAACTGTTTCTGTTTTCAAGATATATTCTTACTCCCTTATCAGAAATCAGATTAGTTTTTAAATTTAAAATATACTGTTAACTAGAATAAACGGGAGAACTATAGTTTTAAAATTTTATAGTAATAAATAAATGAAAAATTAACTTTTAAAAGGTCATCTATTCAGAGACTCTTTTGCTATAACTTTTGTTCATTAAGTTTATCAGAATAATAATGCTAATAATAGCTAATGTTTGTTAAGCAGTTGTGTGCCAGATACTATACTAAGCCCTTTCCATGTGTTATCTCACTGAATCTGCACTACTACCTTGTGAGGTGGCTTCTATTATTATTCACAGATAAGGAAACTGAAAGTCAGGGAGATTACATTTTCCCAAGCACACACAGCTATTGAAGTGTCAGAGTCAGGACTGGAACTCAGTCTGATTTCAAAGCTGGCTTTTAAAGCCACTTGGCTAAACTTTCGCAGTATAATTTTTTTTTTTCAGACATAAATAGCAATTCACAAGACATATTATAAAATCTATGAGTCTATTACAGAAACGTGCTATAATTTTAGAGTTACCTTTAATCTTAATGGTGCTTTATCAACTCGGCAGATTTGATTTGGGCACCGATTGCCATCTACTTCACTAATTTATACATTTCTGCTGTGCAAGCATTTATTGAGATATTAAATAATGATTTGGTATTTTCTTTCTAGGAACTAAAGGAAGACAAATTCTAGGAAACAAGGATTAAGTCTGGTCCTGGTGGTTGTATGGGATAAACATGGATTTCTTTTTAGTTTGTCTTATATCAGTTTTATTATAATATTATTATATGATTCAGGACTTTAAAAACAATCTTACTTTAAAAATGTGAACTAGATTCAATACCTGTCCTGTGAAATTTAAAATATGTAGTTCTCAAGCAAATATAAGTGGAATTCTATTGTTTTCAATAATATATTTGGAATATTTTCATTAAGATAGTGAAACTGGCTGGGCACAATTGCCCACACCTGTAATCCCAACACTTTGGGAGGCCAAGGCAGAAGGATCCCTTGAGCCCAGGGGCTCAAGATCAGCCTGGGCAACATAGGGAGACCGTGTCTCTACAGGAAATATTTTAAAAATAAGCCAGGCATGGAGGCACACACCTGTAGTTCCAGATACTTCAGAGTCTGAGG